ACAAAAACCTGTAAGGTGAAGGAGGAAGTAGGGTAAAAAGGAGGTAATAGGGCCTTCCCTGGTGGTGCAACGGGGTAAGACACAGCATTGCAGGCTGGCCGCAGCCGCTTCAGTGTGAGTTCAATCCCCGGCCCGGAGGTGACTCACATGGCACGGCAGACCTCTCCTGACCCACCCACTGCTCCCCACTCTGTCTTGGTGAATCCTCTCACTGTCCCTGCACCTCTGGCTTCTACCCCAGTTCTGTATGCATGAATAATAAATAAATCTTACCCCCCAAAAAGTTCTTTTTTAAAAAAAAAGTAGAGGATAAGGGAGAGGGTGACACTTCTCTGAGTTCATCTCTGAATATCTTTGACTTTTGGAAGCATGTTAATGCTCTTCATATTTTAAAAATTAAATTAACAAGGGTGAGATGGAGCAGACTAAAACAAAAAAGCAAATGAAAACAAATGCACCCAATTGCATTAAATGAAAACCATCACCAAAATGAAAGGAAAATTAAAAAGCACTAATCCAAATGACTTGTGGATGCAAGTATTCGATTGTGTACAGCCTTTGGTGGGAGGAAGAATCACAAATAAATCTCGATTTGTTTTTTCTTAGTGTTACAGTGGAAGCTAGAAACAACTGTGAATCTATTTCAGTTAGATTATAGAACTAATTAGTCAATGAGGTGCTGTTGCTGAGAGCCAGGGTTCTCACTGGGGAAGAAGGCATGCGCACGAGGCATGAGGAGGCAGGAAGAGACTCTGAGAATTAGAACTGTAGGTGCTAGTGTAACTCCTGATTGCTAAAACATGTAGGTGTACGTGTTTGTGCAAGTATATGTATATGCTTATGTGTGCGTGTGTACCCTGTTTTTGCGTATGTGTTTCCTAGCTCTGTCTGCTGATAGGGCTAAACTACGCTCATAGGTTGCCCTTTGGTAGCAATGAGCAGACACATGAGTAGCAGTGAGCACACTTAGCACCAAATCTTGAGCAGTAGTAACATTCCCACTAAATGAAAACAAGAATCTTCAGAGAAATAGCTGATTTTAGAGATGACTCATCAAAAAAACAGGAGATACAAATGGGCCTGTAGTACCTTATCATGCCACGAAGTAAGGAAATACTCTCCCAGACATGCGGGGTATGTCACAAAGACACAAGTTCCAACTTGAACTTGCCAAATCTGGGCCTTACTGGGCACCAAAATAACTAGATATAGTAATGAATATAAGCCATTGAAAAATGGTAACCCATGAATCTAGGCTAAGAATACACAGGTAAATTAATGGAAGAAAAGAGAGTTCTTCTTTTGGTCGAATATGGAGTGATGACTGAAAAAAGTGGAGGGATGAAACTAACAGGTCATCAGCTTGTAATTATCATAGTAGAAACTGAGTCACACAAGAATCCTCCAAGGATGCTTCATCTGAAAGAAAATTTGAATCAGAAGCAGTAAATTTGCATGGTTTAAATTGTCTCCTCAATTGCTTACTAGCTGTGAAGGAAACAGAAAACAGCTTGACTGGGTAACCAAATTGCTATCACCAAGAGAGACTGTGAAAACTGTGCTCCTCCCGACATGAAGCCCTGAGGCGGATACAGCGTCACGGTGTCTTATTCTGGTCAGAAATGGGGGGAAAGAGCTGAACAGGAGAGCACCATTTCTAGTGGGGCAGCTCCATGATTCAAATCAATTTTTGTTCAAATATAGTTCAAAAGTTAAAAAAACAAAAGTCACATAGGACATTACTGAGTCAATTTATCAAATTAGAATATGGACGGAATCAATATTAAATGTACTAAATTGAAACTATACTGTGATTTATGTAAGAAAATATCCCTAATGCTTAGGGACATTGATTTTTTTTTATAAAGGTGGGGAAGAGCCATGATATATGCAATTTATTCTCAAGAGACTAAGAAACAGCACATGTGTAAAGGAAGAGAGAACACAGTGCTGGAGTGTGTGCACTAGAATACTGACAAGGGAGGGATCTGGCTAGTAGGCATATTGTTCTCTTCCTGCTGTGCTGCTTCTGTGCAACTTTCTGATAAGCTTGAAATTATTTCCAAATAAAAAAATAAATTTTGAGCGTTAGTGGTAATTCAATGTTTTGTGTCTTCGGGAGAGAAATTACTGAGCTCCACATACAGTGGGTTCTCCATCGTATGTGGAGAACCAGCTGGAAGGGTCTGATTCACCTCTGAAAATCTGGAGATCTGAGGCATCCACAGGTGATTGAGGGGTGAGAAGGGCATGAAAGAGGACAAAGGACTGTGCAGAGGACTATGGGAAAGGTGTAGTGGCTGCACCTGAGGGGGAAGTTCTTTACTGCCAAGACAGTGGCCAGGATGTAAAGCAATGGCACTTCAGTTAAAAAGAAGGTCAAAATCTGGATGAAAGTGCAGTATTGATAAATAAGCCTACTGGATTTTCTTAGCCTCTTAATTCTAATGCTCATCTATGGAATCCAGTAATACTGTGCCCCAGGCAGATGCATAGTTCAGAACTCCCAGATTCTAATCTGCATTCACTCTGTAAGTATGGCAACCCTCAAGGACTGTGGAAGCAATGTGAACCCAATCAGGCTCATACTGGATGAACTTAACTGAGCTGTGTAGTCTCTATGGCTAGAATGGGATCCACCAGGTAGCTTGTCATTCTAGAATCCTTGGGTTCTGTAGTGGTGCTGAGAGACTTTAGCAGGAGGCTAGCAATAGAAAACCTTGGAGCTAAATCCTGAATGCCCTCCATGCTTAGTGGTGGTTTACTCAGTTCATTGTTTAGAAAGACATGGCATTCTTTGCAAAACTTTGGAAAACATAAATATCATTAATTCAATCACAGAAATTAGGAATAAATTGATAGGGAAGGTAGTTTTATTAAATGCATGTTTATAGCCACATCTGAAAACTAATTATTGTTTTTCACTCACTCTTCTTTTTTAAGCCTTTGCCCTCGTATGCAAATAGAAAGTTTCCCATGGTTTTTAAATTTTTTCTGAAAAAAAACATAACTAAGAAAATACTCTCCTTGTTTATAGTTTTTCCCTGAGATTTAGAGGGGAAACAATCAAATTTGTAAAACACAGTACTGGAAGAACTTTGGACATTCTGAGTGTCTATCATGTACCCTGGAAGCATGATAGAGGAAATATCTTTTGTGATCTTTGGGCACAGTAGAAGAGAAATATCAGTTAAAGTAGGAAGTCAGGGGAAATTCTCTTCTAAAGGAGAGCTCTGTGAGACCTTGGAGCAGCAAAAGGAAGTGGTAGAAACCCCTTGGCTTGCCAACTAAAATAGGCATGACCTAAAAGAGGTCTGAGAGGGTCCTTTGGGGCCATGCTGGCCCAGACCAACCAGTGTGTCTGTCTCTCTCCCCTTCTCCTCTCATCTTTAGCGCCCCTTTCTTGGCGGAGGGTGTAGGGACTTTTCTCAGTTCTGACTGTGGGACTCTCGCCAATTCCCATCCTGCTGAGGAAGTTCTTAACAGCTACTCGCAGAGAATGGGTGGAAGAGGAGACTCAGCCAAACAAGGCAAGCCGCCCTGCCTGTCTGCCCAGCTGTAGGCAGACAGGAGGACGGTCTGCCTGGGGCCTGGCTCTGGCATGGAGTTAACTCTAGGCCTCTTTGCTTTCATCATCGACTCTCTTTGCAGAAGGTCATCAACTATCTCCATCAGCAGCTGCCTCTTAGGAAGGGTAAAGCAGGGAAATGTCTTGAATTAGAAAGTCCTATCTCTTTGCTAGAGGGGAAGCTTAGAGGCCCCTCCTGTATGTACTATGGTAAGTCTGGGATATACCTTTTCTAGAAGTTTATAGAGGGAATTAACTGCTTCCCCTTCAAAAGCACTTAAATTTTTTTCCTTGGCTTTATTCTATTATATCTATTTAATATTTGTTAGAGTGATTCCTAAGGTTAAATATGATTAATCAAAATCTCCTACAATCTCAGAACTCAGCTTACCCTCAGAGAACTCTCATTATTTTCATCTGAATACGCATCTAGTCGGGGCCCTCCTAACCCCCATGAGCCAGTCTCGAGACTGCATTGGCAATCAAGGACTAAGCCTGTTCATAACCCTCACCTAACACGGCCCTGGCTTCCACCCACTCAGCCAGTGTCCACATGGGTGGGACTCATGTTACTCATGGACATGCTGTACAATCCACTCATGCCTGGGCTCAGTGTCTCTGTTATCTGCGTGGCCTGTGTGCATGGAGGCGAGCATATATGGCAGTATAAACGGGGTGACTCGGGCAGAGTCAGTGCAGCAAGGCATGAAACTGGTACCAAGACCCTATCAGCCCTTTTAACCTCAAGTTATGTCACTAATCTGTACCCCTTTATTTGTCTATTGTTGAATTCTAAAATGACTCTTGGCATGTGGGAGGCACTTGGTAGTGAAATGATGAGTTGTGATGGTCCTGAGTTTTGTTCTTTTTTAAAGATTTATTTATTTATATATACAAGAACTGGGGTATAGGCCAGAGGTGCAGGGGGTTGAATGGATTCACCAGAGACAGAGCAAGGAACAGAACAGGCAGATGTTCTGAAATACACTGCTGAGGGGAGCAGAGGGCGGGTCAGGAGAGGTCTGCTGTACCATGTGGGTCAGCTCCCTGGCTGGGGATCAAACTTGCGCTTCAGTGGCTGTGGACAGCTTCATAGTGCTGCGCCTTAACCCCTTGCACCACCAGGGAAGGACTGGTCTTGAGTTTTGACTCAGTCAGTGTTAGTTTCTTTCCAGGTCTGTCCCTAGAACTTAAGTGGTGTGTGCTCTCAGCAAGTCCTGGTACACATGCAGAGACTACTCTGCCTTCTTGTGATTACTTATGTATTGTCTAAGTTGCATTATAGTCTGTAGCTATTCTTTCTTGATTAGATTTTTATTTGTATTTTTCAGTCTACTGTTGGCTGATAGTGAAGGGTGATAGGGGTTTCTAAGCTCCTGGTTTGTTTTACCTGTCTGGTTAATCCCTGGGGTGGGGTTTCGATATTTTACAGCTTCTAGATCTCTTCATCCAATGGGACTGGTCAACCTACCTTGCCGACTACGGTCAGCCCAACTGCAAGTACCTCCGGGTAAACCCAGTGACAGCTCTGACCCTGCTTGAGAAGTGAGTATCCAGTCCACTGGTCTGTTTGGGAAATGAGAATGTGGGGGAGATAGTCAAGAGGATATTTTTCTCTTCACCAGTACCTTGAAGAGCTACCTGAGAGTCCCTATTCTTGAAGTAGCTATGGGTGCTATCAAATGTCCATCATCAGCTCATCAGATTTGATTGAACAGGCTTCTCTTTAATTCCTGAGCCCTAACAAACTAGATCACGTTTGGATTCCAACATTACCTTGGAGCTTAAGGTGGGGAAAGAGAGTAAAGAAAGATGTCTTGATCTAGGGCTCAGGCCAACCTGGTGCACAGAGTAAGGCTGACCCCAACCATCTAGGCTATGACAGTGTATAGAACAGCTATGCACAACAGTTGACCTCTCTCTGCCTAGTACAGAAGCCCCCAGAATTACTGAAACCTTCATCTTCATCCCCACACTTCTAACCCCCATCAGACTGAGCTTTATAGTGTTGACTGTCCCTAGAAAATTGTTGGAAATGGTGTCTGATTCTTTATTGGCATTCACTGGTGAGCAAATATTGCTTGTATGGTGCTGCAGCATCTCTGAGGTAGCAGCGGCACCACTAATTCTTGGTTAACCAGCTCCAGAACATCAACATCTCATGGTAGATCCCACCAGGTACTGAGATCGGCTCTTGCTAGCCCACTGGAAAACTGGCAGAACAGACACCAAGGCCCATGTAAAAGGGAACCTTTTCTTTTCATCAAATTTCAACTTCTCAACTTTTCATCAAACCTCCAATTTCTTAGAAGCTTCTAGTAAAAATACCAGGTATCTGGACAGTATAATGAGTCTCCAGTTCTAGGAAAGCAAGGATCAGAGACTAGATCAGAGTGGAAACTTAAGCAGGAGAGGCTTAGGTGTACCCTTCACTACCTTACTTCTCAGTGTGACTGTGGGGTCAGGGGGAGATAGAGAATGGGTCAGAGCAAGATGCAGGGGTGTGTGTCGGGAGCCAAGAACTTAGAGCCCAGAGTGCAGCTTTCTCCAGACCAAAGACAGAGACTGATGTTTCCATTTTAACTTTGTTTCCCATGGTTTTCTCTCTTCCTTCCTAGGATATCTAGAGAGTAAGTATGTTATTCACTTGGGCCTTTGCCATCACTGTGAGGCAAGTCCTTCTGGTTTCCTCATTGACGCTAATGACTACACTAAAATCCCTACCCTGTGAGTTGGCCCCACCCTGACATACTAATCTACTAAACCAGCCTGGTGCCAACTGGCTGGCTGCCACCTCTATCCTTGGTCCTGACAGTGACCCTTGGCGTACCATTTCCTTGGGGGCTGGGAGTGGTAGCAGGGATTTTCCCCCATCAGTGCCAGGTCTTTTCCCACTCAGGTCTTGTTCTCATTCAGCCTTCTGGCACACTCAGTAGTCCTGTTAATGCAAGGCATGACGTTCAGCCCGACAGAGTAACCCCTAGGTCCTGATGGTGAGGCCCATAGCTTTAAGATCTGAAACCTGTGTCCCCCAGATTAGACTTTGGTTAAGTCTAATCCCAAAGTTCTCAGCCCCCATCTGAAATGGGGAACATTACGGCCTTTGAGTTTGAGTTGGTGTTTAGGTGGTCCTATTCACTCCCTGTGTGAAGAGGCCCTGGGATTCCCTTCAAATGCTCTCAGTAGTCCTTGACTCTGCTATTCCTGAGAATCTCTAGATTCAAGAAATAGTCACTAATCCACTTCTGTTGGTCAACAATAGTCTAAAATAATCAGCCTTTCTGGAGATCTAGCCTGTAGCAATGCCATGTGCTCAGCCCCAGCATTCAGCAGGGTTTAAAAGCCTCTCCCAAACACAGCAGGGCCAAAGGCCACCTAGCCCACTAAAATCCATATTTCCCAGCCTCAGAGGAGTCAGTCCCTTTCCTTGACCCATTCCGGCTTCTTCCACATCCGGCTTTACCAGCAGAGCTTTACATATTCTCCTTCCAACCTGGTGGTACTTAGCAGAATGAGACTGGAGAGCTGCAATGCTGGGCACATTGAAAAAAGAAAATAGGTTCCTGTGTCATTGAGCCAAAGTAGAGAGGCATCCAGGGCTTATGGAAGGGGGTGGGAGGTGAGAAGGGCTCCCCTTTGGTTTAAAGCATTACAAAGTACAAGCCAGCATGTCCCCATCAGCCCTCAGGGCATCTGAGTTTATCTTTTGAGTAATCCCAACTCCAAGACTTAAAGGCTCAGAAATCCCCTTGTGGGGGTCAGAGCGTACCCTCTTTGCCCCTTCCCCTCCTTCATTACAGCAGCTTCCCTTATGGTAGCTGGAAGCCAGCTCTGCTCTGCTTCAGGGAATCATGAAATGAATGGACACGTGGGGACATTAGACTAAATGTCCTATAAATGCGGGAAGTGTCTTCTTTCTTTTTTATTTTGTTTTGTGTTGTTTTATTTAGATTTACACTGTGTTTAGGAAAGGATAGGGAGTCTTGGGGCAGGGGGGATAAATAACCCCAATCTAGGCCCTGTTCCGCAACATAACCATACAATTCATGTGTAAGAAACCAGATACAGTAAACACAGTCTCGCGGCCCCTTGTGCGTTCTTGTCCACCAACTTCTGTGTTATCTTTTCTGCTTCCTCCCCTGCAAGCCCTGGCCCCCACATGTGGGTGGTTAGACATTATATTCAGTGTTCTGAGTTTGTTGGATGAGTAATGCCAGCCTGAAGGTCATTGAGCTTAGATCAGAGAGAAGTTTTGATTCATTTGCGGCTGTCGCTGTTGACTGTGGTGCTTCCCCAAACCTCCTCACCACAGGGATGTAAATGGTCTTGTGGGCCGTATGGCCTTTTGACCCCCTGGCTTCTAATCTGCTCCTCTGCAAAGACCACATCACAGGGAAAAAAATAGTACGCTTGGGAGCAGTTCGCTCCCCAGTGTCAGGTTCCTTCTGTCTCCCCACTTGTAACTGGTCTCCATGTGGCGCAGAGCTGCCCGGCTCGCTGGTGGGAAGACCAGAGGCTACCTCACAGAAGTTGCCTGGATTCTCTAGCACTAGATCTAGAGAATCCAGATGGGCTGTGGCTGGAGGCCTGGGGGCTTGTGGCAGGGCCACGCCTCAGTCACCAATGTCTGCTGTCTGTGGTGGGCCTTTGCAGGGACCGCAGAGTGTTTGGATTTGATCACAATGGCTTAGTCCGACCTGGGGTTTCTGTGACAGCCTCTGCCTGACCTTGATTTCCTTATCTGTGCTTCCTAGTTAGGTCTCCCTAGCTGATTGAACCACTGGTCAGCACTACTCATGATTTGTGCTCTAGGAATATGTACTAAGCCCCATCTCTGAAGTTTAGCATGATCAAAATAATGACGATATGACAGTCATTACTGGGGGCTTCTTTGTAGCATAGCCCAGATACCTCTAAAAGGTGCACCAAAGGGAACAAGTTAAGGGGGTGGGGCAATGAAGAGATGAAGGGATTGTCCCCCTAGAGCCAGCTCTTGAATATTTGCCCATGTGGTAGAAATGGTGAGGCCTGTGGTTCCCAGCAGGACAGCGTCTTGAATACTAGGTAAATATGGGCCTCACGGTGAAAATATTCTAACTCTCCACTCGCAGTTGTGGTTAAGACACACTGCACCATCCGAACTCCTGCTGGTTCTCCTTCCACCATTGCCTCCTCAAACACTGCTCTTTTTGCTTCCCTGTTTAGGATGAAGGACACTAGCCGCAAGAACAATATGTTTGCACAGTTCCGGAAAAATGAGCGAGACAAGCAGAAGTTGATTGACACAGTGGCCAAGCAGCTCCGGGCACTCATCAGCAGCCACCACTCATGAGAGCTGGCCTCAGGCCGCAGAGGCTGCTTGCTGCAGCTTCGCAGGCTGGACCTAGGCTGGCTGGCCCTACATTTGTGCATTCTTCTTCAAAGAGAGCAAGTGTATTTTTTTAATAACCTATGTACAGTATTCACATCACCTTACCCTGTACGCAAAGAGGCACAAGAACGAGCAAGTATATGAGGTGTTGCTAGGCTGGGACTCGGGAAGACACACTACATTATCTGTATAGCCTAGAGATGGTGAGAAGTCTCACCAACGAGCACAGTATGATGAATCACCTTTCACCCATGGCTCTAGAGCTTAGGTCAGGAGCTACCCAAAAAAAAAAAAAAAAAAAAAAAAAAAAAAGGTGATGGGTAATGGGTACAATAAAGTACATCCTGTTTACTCCTGGGTGCCCCACATAGGTGAAGGGGTTCTTCTTGATGTAAGGAAAGGGCCTGGAAAACATCACTGTTGAGTCTAGAAAAGCCCACCACCTAGTTCCGGAACCTCGTCTCAGCCCACTGGCTCATTGGCTGGTACACAAGCATGGCATGTTGCAAGATGACACCTTCACTCCATTGTCCCAAACAGGGCAGTCTCTTTAGCCCAGATCTGACCCAGAGCTTCTCCTGCTGATCTGTCGTGGTCAGGACAGAGCCGAGCATGCAGCGGTGCCTGGCTGGCTGCTGTGTGCCCTGGCACCAGCAGGAGCCTTACTAGACCTGAAAGCCAGTGTGACAGGGATCAGAGCCCCTTCCCCATTCATCTCATTTCCTCTTTTCATGCTCAGACTACTTGGTTCTGAGCTTGGGTCAACAGCCATTTCCAAGGGTCTTTGCAAAATAGTCTCAGACATGACCCCCTGCAGCGGTGTCACTGGGGTACGGCTGACCCCAGAAACCAGAAAATGGCTGTTACTTCTCCCTGAGGTAAAACCTGATGGTTCCTTAGGGTTGATTCTTCCTTTGTATTTAAATCAGCTGGGCTCCGTCTCTAAAGGCACTATCACCAGCTCTGCCATTGGTGGAGACAGCTGCAGCTGGATGTCTTTAGAGATGGAGCCACTGTCACCATAAAGCCAACAAGAACAGCTTTGGCTAGTAGGTTTGTTGTCTCTGGCCCAACCACCCCTCACCAAATCACAGCATGGATAAAAATGTCTTCTCACTCCAGCCCAAGGCTTTCATCCTCTTTTGATATCTCCCATAACCATCTTTTGACTTCATCTGATGATTGTCTATAATCTTATCCCCAAACTCCAGAGTTTGCACAGGGAACCTGAACCAACCAGCTTGGGAGCTGTGTCCACTGTCTCAGATGGGCTACTGAGATTAATGCAGGTGCTTTGCTATGAGATCAGTCACAGCAACCTGAACTTTAAGATGCTTCAGAAGATGCTACTTTGGCTACTGGCAATAGTATAATTGTGCATCACCAAACAATGACAAATAAGCCACACAGGCATTTCCAGCTTGGATTAGTGGGAGGAGAGACTCATCAAGCAGAATTCTTTACTACCTTTGTCAGCTACTGAGTTGCTTCTGGGGAGGGCAGTGCTTCCTTTTTCATTCCCCACTCCCTATGCCCTCCCTTCTTATCCTATATCAACTCAAAGGCCGTGGGGAAGAGAATGTGCACACAGGCATGCAGCATCCTCAAAGCTGATGGGGCCAGGCTGCATGCGAGCCCTGTCAAAGCCTCTGGGACCATTCCGAGTGCGGTGGGGATGACCCAGGCTCAGGATAAGGGTCAGGGATGAATGCTGCCACCTAGAACTTTGGAGGCCAAGGTAAGGCAGCGACCTGTGGAATGAGACCCAAGCTGCCATCTCCCAAAGCCTGACTTTATTTAAAAAGAGTGAGAAGTAATCACACTAATCTCGAGTCCTATTGCTTAAGAAGGACCCCAAACTAGTGAGGACCCTTCCTCACTAGTCCCCAATGTACAGCAAGATGTCTTCAACTTGGAATACTGAGATCTCGAAGTGGGGATGAAGAGAAACTTAAGCACAGCACAACGTTTTGTCTCTTAAGACTCATTATCACTGTGATCTGGTTGCAAACCAGTACTCTGGAAGAACTATGCTATCGAGGAAAAAGCAAGCAAGTGGAAGGACAGGAGATGCTCTACACCTTGCACGTGATATCCTTCCACGGACAAAAGCTTATTCAAGCTCAAGGCACCTGAGGGCGGGTCTGCTGATAGACTTCTTCTTCCCTTTCCATTTGTCCTCAGTCTTCCCTGACAAAACCATCGTGCTGCTACTGGGTGTCTATAGAAAGGCACTCTTGGTGAGCAAAGGATGGTCAAAACAGGGACTAGTGGTGGTCAGGTTACCCTGCTGGTGACGTGGGGTATTTAGTTTTATCTCTAGGCCAAAGAGCTAGGCCAGCTCTTGAGGGGACTTGTGCAAAGCACGTGTAGCCATGCCCCTCAGATTCTTAAGATCTGGCCTCAAGGACCAGACATCCAGAAGTGCCAAAGGGGCTAAATTAAAGGGCGAAAACATGGGTGGCTGGGAGCCTATTGGCCTTCTAGTTGGAGTAAACCTTGGCCAAGTTCTTGGAGAAATCAGATCTGTTTCTAAAGGGATGGTCTGGTTTGAGACCCTAGTTGGTTTCAGTAGTAATATAGGTAACTTGCATAGTTTTAACATTCATAGGAAAATCTCTGTGTAGATTTTAAATGAAGCTGTTGGGACTGAGAAGAACAGAACCTCAAATCTAGACCCAGCAGAGTGTCCCTGTTGGCAAAGGGAATGTCCAGCTTCCGAGGAGTATGCCCCCAGTGTAATTGCATTCCAAGCCTCAGTCCCTAGAACTCAAAATGTGCTTAGCTCCACTGCACACTTGACAAGTGTTTGCTCAGCAAGTCCCAGACCCCGAACCCTTTCTCCCCAAGCTAATAACCTTCATAGGGCCTCTGATCACACTCCCTGGGACTGCCTGAGCACACCCCCACCTGAGCTTTCCTCCTTCCAGGATCCTGCTCCTGTTTGCTTAAACTACCTTTTTTTTTTTTAATCTTTCTGCCTGCATTAGCAATTATTTTTCACTAATGTGTTGGAAATGACCTTTTTATTTTGCACAAATAGTTGCACATTTATGGAGGAAAATTAGGAAAGCCCATTTTTAACTCTAAAGGGAACTTTTTTCTTTAAAACTCACTAGCAAAATCCACTGGTGCAGATGGGCCTCATGGTTAGTGGAAAACCTCTTCTATGAAAAGAGCATGTTTATCTCTCCTGTACATGTTCCTCTTTGAATTGCTATTAAACACGAGCGCCTGTCTACCTGTTTCAAAAGCCACAGTGTTGTTTCTGTTTGTTTGTTTTTCCACCCTTTTGCACAATGTAGCTGTGGGTCACGAGCTGAGAAATAATCATTGCATCTCCCTCAACTGCACTGAGGACTAAAACAGGCAAAGGCTGGTGGGGAGGAGAAAGGCTGCCTGCCAGGCCAGGCAAGGAGCCATATTGTGACCTTGGAAACAACTCAAAATACTTAGGTTAGGCTTTCCTACATATTCACTTAACACTAATATCATCATCCAGAAGAATAACTTGAAATACCTGATTTTGCAGAATACTGGGCTAGGCAACTTGGGCCTAGTGAGTTGAACTATGGTCCTGCCATGAAAAGACTCCCAGTCAAGATGGAGTGATACAGATTTACCCAGAACAAACCCAGACTGGGGAAAGGGAGAAATTTTAGAGCTCGGTGGGAGGGAGGGGACGGCATCATGGCCTGGCACAGGGGCAAGCATCAGTGTCTGGTCAGGGAAGACAGCTCAGAGAGCAGGAAGGTGGTTAGCTTGCCTTGGAAGGAATTAAATTCCTTCCTGCTCTAGCTACGGGAATATTTTAGGTGCAGTGAAAAGTTGGTATAAAGCTGGTATGTGCTGGGAGAATAGTCAAGAATCTGGTAGGCACATCTGGAAGCATGGGGAGGCCAAAAATGTCCATGTAATGCTGCCCAACCTGCTCGCCCCACGGGCTGGCACAGAAATCCTGGGAACTGACTGGAAAGATTTTCTTCAGCCACAATTCTGACTACTGCAACTGGGCATCGATGTCTGAGAGCCTGGGCTTCAATTCCTAGCTGGATGATCTTCAGCAATTAGCTCCCTCTATCTCGCAGCCCTCATCGGTGAAAGCAGAAAAGCAGTCCCTCACCTACGCGTTGTGAAGTACAAAGCTGTGGGTGCTCAGCGTGCTTAGCTAGCACCTAGCCACAGCACGGCACTATTTAAAGTCTTGCTTGCCTGCCCCCCAGTTCCACACTACCCCTCATGACTGAGCATCAGACACAAGGTCTAGCGCCACTGCCCCCCTGTTCAGTAATGCTGATGGCCCTGAGGCCCCTCCAGCACTCATGCACAAAGCAGAGGTCTAAGTCCTTCAGTACAGACAACCAACTTCTTCAGAAAGAAACTGCCCCTCAACACAACCTAGAACATTCTCTGCTCTCATTTTGGTGCCTAAATTTATACCTCCTAAAATGTAGTAATTCTCAAGTCAGCAGTCCATGAAGTCCTCGAGGAAAGTGTGTGCGTGTGTGTACCTGCACACTCGTGTGCATCGGCTTCCACCCCACCCACTTTTCTGGATAGAAAGACCATGGTTCCCATCACTGTCTAAGTAAGATTCATGACTGAAATCTTGAGTAATAACCATATTAGAAATACAGATCTTCCCATGAGGAAAGTTGGAAGCTCGGAGCCATTTCCTCCTCTCCCTGCCTCAGATACTTCTGGCAAGGGAAGTTTTTAAGACCTGTAACTCTGTCACCCCCCTGGATCCAGGTCCCACCTAAAGACTACTCACAACAGCCACCATTCCTAGCTTTCTCTCCTAAAACCATGTTATATTCTGGCACAGTGCGTGAGAGCCCCAACTTGTGAGAACAAGAGGGTCCAGCACAGAGGCTTGAGCTGTCAAAGCCCAACTGAACATTTGCCACAGCTATTGAGCTCTGTCTAGTACTGCATCTAGCTCAAGGCCTTATCCAGAGGGGCCAGCAGCCCTTGGGTGCCTGGGGGAGTGGGGAGAAACAAAATCAGGGACAGATGTGAAACAGTTATGCTTGCCCCTTTTCTCAGAGCTAAACTTCTTATCTGCTCAGCAGGCAAAGAAGGGTGGGGGTAGCTGTGGGAGTTAAGGGGAGGGGGAGAGAATGTGCCAAACCTTTCCCCAGAGTCCTCAGTTGTGACTCTAATGGGCAGTGTTTGCTGGGATAGACAGGGCCTCCAGGCCCAAGGGACCAAAGGACAAAGGCTCTTGAGGAAATGCAAGGAGGAGGGAGGAGTGGGGCCTGTCATTGTGTGGGAGAGCTACCCCTCTATCTGTTTCAATCGCTGGTGGGGTTAGGGTTACCCTGCATTTGGTGCCCCAGCTGCTTTGTAGGGTCTGTGACATCAGCCCTTGTGATGATAATGGAGGGGCCTCTCTCACAGGGGGCACCCCGTTAGCAGCCAGCCCACATCAGCTCCCAGAGAGATTGAAGCTCCTGTTCTCTCAAGGAGGGGGCAGACTGTGGGCTGAGAACTGGGCCTCAGACAACAGCCCCTCCCAGTCTGAGCCCACTTTCATGTACCTTCCAAGTCCAAGCTATGACCTTCCTCTCCACAGCTCCAGAAAAAGAGTGGAATCTGAACATTGAGACGCTTTTCTGGCCTAAACAATCCTTCTATTCTCTAGGCTCAATGATGGGTCTATTTCCTCCTGTAAATGGGTCTCGTAATCTTCAACTTTTACCTTTGCTTCTAAAGGTAATTAATTGGATCTCCCTCTTGTTCTCCCCACACACTCCCCTCTCTGTTACAAGGCTCAGGTTCGGCTGAGTGGATGGCTTTTCTTTCTTTGTGTCCCATGGCGTGCTAATTTTTAAAGCTGATGGAGTGCCCTCTCCAGTGAACCTCTTCTCCAGAGAAGTTTGTTGGGGGAATGCCCTTCTGTGGACATAGGACAGGGCCTTTGGTTGGGATTCTGCCGAAGGCTTTAAGATAGCCAATGCTGGGCAACCGGTCCACTTTTTTTCTCCAGGTATGTTTCCAAGGTTTTAGGGAGGAAGACAAGGAAGTCATTTTCAGGTAAAACCCTCAGAAGCACAGGGGAGGACTAACGGGTGATCTGGACATCACAGGCCTTCGAAGAGTGGCAAAATGGACTTGGAAGAAAGTGAGATCAGAGGATAAGAGTCTTATTTTCCACAGCATGAAGGAGAACAGACAGCAAAGCCTGGAGCACACAGCAGCAGGAGAGAGTGTGGAGGTAGGAGGGGTGAGGAATGGCCCCTCAAGACAGCAGGAAAAGCTGCTCGGGTGGAGCCTCAGACGATGGTTTCTAGCACTGCTTGCTTGCCTAGTGCTTCTGCTCCATGATAAGTCTGGAGCAACTCATAGGCCCCGATTCCCCAGGAACCTAGACCAACAGAAGGTACACAGGTACTCCTGACGCAACGATAGGAGTCACCCTTGGAGGGTCAGTAGCTACTGCGGGGTCTGTGTGAGCAGTCGTCCTTGCTGGGAGCTGTAGCTTGTCATTGAAAACCATGCCATTTATTGTGGTAATAAAAAACAAGCCAGCTTTTAGTCAGTTTTATTATTATTTTAGGATTCTCTACATGTCCCACCCACTGTGGTCATGGAGCAGGGTGGGGTTGAGGACATATTGAGTCAGGTGAGAAGGAACAGTTTAATTCCTGAGGGGCGGGATGTGGTCCTGGCAGTGTTGCTGAGTGTGTGTGTCCACGTGCACGCGCCTGTAGCTGTGGGGACCTGACAGAACGGGGCTTCCTCCACCGAGTCTGACCCCCCCACTCCCCACACAGTAGGCTGGTGGCTCCCAGATCATTTTAATATGTGCATGTATATTAACTTTTCCACAAAAATAATCCCAGTGTGTTACATTTCCCCACTTAATGTGTCTTAAACATCTTTGGCATAGGGGTTTTCTTCATCCTTTACGAAACCCTTAATTAGGTAGTTCCGTTGCGTGACTGAACCTTCAGTTTAACTAATTCAGAATTGATGAATATTAGGGATGTTGCACTCTGAGAAACACTCTCACCAGACATTCATATACATAGTTGTCTTTTTGTTTAGGTGTTTCTATAAGATAAATTTTCAGTGTAATGGACTGCTCAAAGTTTAGGAAAGTAAATGTTAATAGAAGTTTTATATCTCTCTTGAGAATCATTAATTTACTCTTTCCAATATAAAAATAAACTGCAATATATAGAGTCATATAATGTGAGCCTCTTTATCCTCAGACCTAAGTAATATCAGTATTTTTCATTCTTGCCGATCTTATAAGCAAAAAATTATTTCCCTTGTTTTACTTACATTAATTTATAATGAATTTAGACATCTATCTGTATTGTTAGTCACTTGTATTTCTTTTTGTGTGAAGAGACCATCCATAGCTTCTGCCTTTGAAAATAGCAACCTCCCTTATTTCCTTTTTCTTACTGATTCGCGCCTTTGTCTACAGGGATCTAAATTTTCTTTTGCATTGAAAATATTTTTTCCCAGCTTGTCTTTGAGTATTTTCATGGTCTAAGTCCTTAAGAACTTTTTGTTTTGCGAGTAACAAAAATCTAACTGCAGAAAAGTACTAAGCAGTTCAGGGTGGGTGCCATCCAGTGGCTGAAATAACCTGTGAAGCAGGGAGGCCATCCTAAAGCTCACTTCCCCCTGGAGTGTCAATGGCTGGCATTTTCCAAGTATATTTCACATTTCTACATTACTCTGTGCAGAAATTGGCTTCTGGTGGTCCTCTTGGAAGAGGAGGGTTTTTGTTTTTGTTTTGTCCCATAATCCTCCACTCTTTAGAGCCCTATATAGGCTCACATATTGTCCTTTTTTGATCGAGACTATGCCTTGAACCAATTACTATGGGCAAGGACAAGAGAGTCACTCTGGTATGTTACAACAGTCCTTGTCATCCTGGAATTTGGAGAAAAGAGGTGTAAAACTCAAATTGCATGGCAGTTACAAAACAGGGAAATGGTGGAAGGGATATCAAGGAGACACACCATAGTACTCACTGTGGTCTGTGAGTACTCACTACATAATGTTTTCCATTATATAGAAGAATTCACATTTTTCAAAATTAACTTTTCAAGGTAACACTGGCTGACAGCACTGTATGTTTGGATACAGGCTCAGACCTCTTCAAGTGTATGTATCACACAGCACTAAGCACCATAACCCTCTGGCACAGGCCACTGAATTTTTCATTTTTGAAATTTCAATTTATCAGGCTTCTTCTTTAAATTGCTTATTTCATGTCAGACCTAGA